CTTCCCAAAGTGGAGTGGTGTGGTACTACAGCACGCACATCATTCAGAGTGATTGTCCGCCATCACAAGTGAAGTCAACTTTTCCAAATGGATGTCACAACGAGCACGGTTGTTACCGAGGGGGTTACGTTAGACCCCACGGAGAGTTCAACATTCGAATTCAGTGACTACACCCAGAGGGTCATCGTAGCCACTATGTTCCTTGCCATAGCCTTTAATCTTTATTCCGATTTCTTATAAAGATCTTGTAAAATGTTTGTTTTAAGTTTTAATTTTAAGCTTTAAGTTTACTTTAATATTTCATGGTAATTTAGCTAAATTTGTTTATGGGAAGCATTCTTTTTCACACTTTGGTCCAATTTTGACATCTTGGATGGTGAAGATTAGCTGACAAAGGTGCTAGCTGGTGCATTTTGGAGATATGCTTAAAAGTACTTAAAGTACTAAATTAAATAAATATATTGGTTTTGGAGAACTTTCTGGCAGGTCTCAAGATAATACATATTTTTCTTTTCGTAGCTATTACGCTAAAATTTCACAAAGTAGTATGTCTTTAAACATGTACATGTACAACTTTCCGTATAACTTGATGGTGTCAAACTGTATCGCTGAGTTTAAGTTATTTTCCAACAGACATCAATTGACATGTACCTAAAAGTACAGTTTTTATATTAATTGTATGATAAAGCTTTATATAGTAGCCTCATCTCAAATGGACCACCACAGCTTGCATATTTTCGAATAATTCTGAATATGTCATATTTCACAAACGGTTACCTAGTGGCATCTTCTTTAAGAGTGTTATATTGTTATAAGTCTCTTCTTTTTAAAAAAGATGAACTTTCAGTTTCTTGTTCATCTGTATTAACTCCGTTATTTATCAACAAAATTTGCTCCAAATTGGCGTCTATAAATGACATTGTAAAAAGAAAAACAAATCTATTAAAAAATAATCTTTTTTGATGTGCAAAGAGAAATATCAAATGGTTAGATACGCCCATTCTGCTTGTATGGATTTTAAAAAAAAGTAATACAAAAACACGTTCCAGTGATTTCAAGGAAGTGTTTGCTTAAAGATTAAAACGTGTCAAAGCATTTATAAAGTGTTAAAGGCTTAAAACACATATAAATGTTTATAACCTAAACACATAGTTTACTTGTAAACACAAGTACATTCAGAAAATATTAAAGCAGTATCAGTATACATCTTGATATATATTTATGTAAAAAGGCATAGTGTTTATTGAAACAAAGTGTTTATTTATAAACATGTGTTCAGTGTTTTTTCATAAATATGTCCACGTGTTTAAAAAGACTTACAGATATAAGTTTATATTTGTGCTCAGAAGTTGGACACATGGTTTTACAGTGTATATAGGCTTCGCACTGCCTTCTTCCTTGTTGTCTTTGGAAACTATTCTTTCTCTTTCGGAAAACTCATTTCTGTGTGTCAACACGATATCAATCAGTGTTCTTTTGTTCTTAGTTTGCAGAGGTAAACCAATAAAGGGACAGTATTAAAAGTATATACTTCCCAAAGTTGAGTGGTGTGGTACCAAAGCACGCAAATCGTTCGGAGTGAATGATCGTCATCACAAGTGAAGTCAACTTTTCCAAATGGATGTCACAACGAGCACTGCTGAGGGGGTTACGTTGGACCCCACGGAGAGTTCAACATTCGAATTCAGTGACTACACCCAGAGGGTCATCGTAGCCACTCTTTTCCTTGTCATAGCTTTGCTGAGAATCTTTGGTAACACGCTTGTGATACTGGCTGTGCTTCTGTCCAAGAAAGTCCGAACGGCAACCAACGCCTTCGTGGTGAACCTGAGCGTGGCGGACTTTCTGAACTGCCTGGTCATCCCGTGGAATGCCGTGGCTTTGCTGGGCCGGGAGGGTCTACCGGTCGGTGTTTGGGTCTGTAGCATCACTGCTATTGTTCAAAGCGTCACGGTCGCCTGTAGCGTTTACTCGCTAGTCGCCATCGCCCTGAACAGATTGCTGCTGATCACACGACATGCGACAACTTACAATAAAGTTTACACACCCAAGAAGATCATCATCTGGCTTGTTTTGATATGGCTCGTCCCGCTGTTCATCTCGTTTGGTATACCATCTTTCATAAGCACAAGTGCATTCACTTACAACCAAAAGTACCATATGTGCGCGTCAACCACTTCTCAAGCCAGCCTGCGTGCCTTCAACTTCATCGTCGCAGCCATAATATACCCCATTCTGCTGGTCATCATCATCGTTTGTTACGTACTCATCTGGAGACATTTCAAACGTCACTCTAAGAGGATGGCTACGGTCCACCAAGAAGCAAGCCAACTCACGCCCAGCAGCATCCCAACCACCTCCACTGTTAGGATTCCCCTGGCTGACATGACCGACGATGACCGAATCCAATCCCCAACCAGCCTGAGCTCTGTGCTGGCCGTCAACTCTCAGATGACACACCGACAGAACGACATCACTAAAAACATGTTCTATGTCGTATGTGCCTTCATGCTGTGCATTACTCCATGCGCTGTCGTTTTCATGTGTGGTGACAGCCCAGCCTGACCCTACCTCCTCGCTTTGTTCTTTTCAAACAGTTGTGTCAACCCCATGATTTATGCAACCAAGCACCGTGATTTTAAGACCATATTCGGTTGCATCTTGCGTCGGCAGTGGGCAGCTATCCCAGAACCTTCTGAGTCCCTGAAGTTCCTGCAACGAAACAAGCGTTGTGGAGCAACCGAGGACATATAGTCAAGCTTGATTAGCCTTGGTCAAGACGTTGTTGTCATAATTGCTAGCAGTTCGTGGGTGATTGCAAATCGCTGTGATAACGCGCTGTTGTGACACATGATCGCTTATCCAGCAACAACGACGACAACAACAACGTCTTGACTAAAAGCTGCATGTTATTCTGCGATTGATTGCGGAATAAAGAATTGCTTTACATTGAGCATCATTGTCAGCTAAGAATCTTCATACGACTATCCGTCGCAGTCGCACGCCCACTTCTCCATTTATGAAGCGAATGGACATGTATGAATTGATTTTGAAACGACCCTAGACAATTGGATTAATTTAACGAGATATACCATTTAATCACGCTATTTGAGAATTGTAATGAGGACTCTGAAAACACTGTATTTACATTTGGGAAGAACACAGTCCAACTTGCACCCAGCTGACCTGCTGTAGTCAGCTGGATGCAAGATGGACTGTTTTCTAGTCAAATCTAACATGTAGGTGTTTTACAGTGGGGTGTCCCAGATCACAGTGTAGTTTAAACACATTTCTAAACCTCGTTTTGTACCCACTTTGTAAATATGTTTAAATTCACGGATGTCTGTGACATGTTAGATTTCGAAAAGGCACGTACGAAAGCCCATTGTAGTATCGTAAAGCATAAATTGTAAACGTGAAGAAAATGACTTTTGAGTTGAAGTCAAATAACAGGCTAAGTGCACACTTTTATCGCACTTTTATTATCATTTGTCTACGAAAAACGAAAATTACAATATATATTGTTATACCTTTGTCTTGAATACTGTATTTTCATTGTCCTCGAACGATCACGTGTTAAGTTTTTAAAAAAGTCATAGCACACTGGTCTGTGGGATATTACGTACGTGATATGCCACAGGGAGTGTGCTGTGACTTTGTGCGTACGGTACGTACGCGTCTTTTTATTCTATATGGTACGAACGTGTTTCACACGTAAAACGCAGCGAACGTGCAGACGATCAACTGTTTGGAGCAAGCGACATGCATGTTAGTTGACGTCGTGTCATTATTAAGGGAATAAATGTGTGCTTCGGAGGTTTGTATCACTCTGTTTAAGACCACTTAGAGTCTGGGTGCTGATAATAACACGAGCCGGAGGCGAGGGTAATTATCAGCACCCAGACTCTAAGCGGTCTTAAACAGAGTGATAAATACCAACCGAGCACACATTTATTCCCATTCATAAATACCTTTTCGGTAAGAAAAAATATAATATTTCGGTCAAAAAATCCCGATTTTGTTCAACAAGTTTACTTCATGCTTTTTGAAACATCCCTCTAGCTAAATAATGGAGTGTTCAGCTGCCGATTAAGATGTAAACATCCCTTTTATGGAGATTGACGCGCGCGTGGCACGTTCTGTGCGATGTCGCGCAGAACGCACCTGGCGCGTTGCGTTTTGAATTTAGAACTAAAAAATTCTGACTCACTGGTAGTGTTGCGCATGCCTACGTGAGGACTGTGAGCGTTCAACCAATAAAACGGCAAGAGGCACTGGATTTTTAGGAGTCCACATTTTATGTGACACTGGAAAAGTCGTCAGTCGTACCACGAACCGTCGTAACTCAGACTTACCTTGATTTGAGAAAAAACGGTTTAAAGTTGGGCATGTTTTCAATGACTCACATTTCAAACAAGCAGATTTACAATTTAATCCATTTTATGCAGCCTCGCAGCAGAATAATCGTGGATTAATTAAATACTTATCGTTTGTGTCAACAATCCGGTTGTTGAATGTTATTTTGTTCGGAAATCAAACGTCGTTTTTGTGAAATTATCATTTGCCTGTTTTCGAACACCGCGATTGTGACGTATAAAGTTACGACAGTTCGTGGAACGAAAATGTGGCGATTTTGTCCCAGCGCGTGTGACTTATCGCTACTGCGCATGCGTGGTTTGATGTTATACGTGTACATGTATTTAATTCATGCACTGCGTTTACAAGGGGTGCCAGAATGGCTCAATTTCAATCTTCCCTGGTTGTTTTAGAGCATTATTTCCCCAATATGCACTATTCTGGAGTTGAAAGTCAAGTTATGTTCAAAGCAAGACCAATGATAACATAAAAATAACAGCTTGCCAGTTCCAATTTTACAGGTTCTCATCAATTGTGTATTTTTATTCAAGCACAAAATTGTCTTTACACACTGAAACTCTGTAGCTCAAATTCATTCATAAATTCATTCAAACATTTTTGCTACAATAATTATTAATGAATTATCAATGGCACATGTTACACTGATGCAAATTCCGATGCTTGATGAAGTGACAAACTGAAGTTAACACAATGATTTCAACCAAAGCTTGCAGATTCTGACACTGATATGGAGTGTGTGGTCTTATTGGTGCGGCAAGTGTTTGTAAAATGAAACATGATCTGCATGATAAATCAATGGCGTAGTGCCAGTGCACATCTTCATCAGATCAGCATACTTGTCTTGGGACAGCTTGGGCGGTCCCTTTGGGTATGCCTTTTTAGGACTGATTTCAAGCTGATGACCAACTTTTCTTTGCCCTTCACCGATAGCAATGGTAGAAAAGTTCACGTCAGTGTGAGAAAATTTCACCTGGATCTTACTTGGGGAGTTCTTTTCTACCTTCACAGCCATAACTTTAGTCCAATCAACTGGCTCTCCTTCCACAGTTTTGCGAACTTTCAGAATATGCATGTCTCTTGAGAGTTGTTTCCAGTCATGGATGTCTGTTGTTTGAATTTCATTAACTATGTATTGAGAAGGATTTCGGCGAGCCAGTTTGATCAGGGCAGCGAGTTGTGCAGGCAGAAAGATGTCACCAAAGTTTTTCATAGCTCTCTCTACCGTACTATGCATGGCATCGCCCTCACTTTGACCGTGATTTGTTTCAAAGTATGATATTGTCACACTTTTCATCGATTTTGAGTGTTTGACAAAGTGCATGAGCATAGCTGGCAAGACTGAGTTTTTGTTTTGGCCACGACACCCATCACAGAAAAAGGCTGCTTCATTTTTCTTTTCCCTGTCTACAACTGTTAAGTAAGAGTACAAGTTTGAAGCAATTTCATTCGATCCACGCTTCGCTAAGCCCTCGTGATGCAAATAGCAGTATCCAGTTTTGCTCGCAAGCTCATACACAGTGAAATTATAACAGGACAACCTTCGTTGGTAGAAAAGTTCACCTCTGTTAGACCTGGGCAGGTACAAGACTTGCTCCAAGTCAAATACTGATGCCACAAAAGTCTCAGGATTCAAGTGCGCCTTTTCCTTCATCTCTTCTTTAAGTTCTCGAACTTTGCATTTTTCTTGAATATGCTTTTCGTAACCGATACACATCCGCATTTTTTCTTCTTCATTTCCTTTTCTGTAGGCATCACACAACCCACACAAGTCCTTCTTGGGAGAATGGAACTTGAGTTTCATGCTTTTGAAAATCTTCGAGTAAAAACTCAAAGAAGCTTTTCTGCCATTCTTTTTGTGCTCTTCGAGGTACAATCTGTGCATCCTGTTTATGTTTAAGTCTGGTGACAAATACTGATAGCCAGTGTTCGCTCTGCAAAAGTATGATTCCATTTTAGGAAATCTGTTGATGTGTTTGTGCACTTCATCGGCTAATTGTTGGTCTAGATCTTTTCTCACCCTACCACCTCGCTTCTCTGGTTCTATCACACCCAAAGGCCTTGTTTTTTTAACCACGGTACTGACCTGTCTTTCTGACAACCCAAGCGTGTTCAGGAACATAACCTTACACACTTGTACCTTGGAGCATATTTGAAGTTCTTCATTGAGTGGAAGAAAATATTTCAATTTAATTTTCTTTCTGGGGTTTTGGCTCTGATTCTGTATTTCAAGATGGCGAGAAATCCACTGGCGTTGTAAGCTTAAGTTGCCTAAATCATAAAATGCATGCTGTATTGACTTGCGGTCTGACTCCGTTAATGTCTTGCATGACAACTTTCTTACATCACAGAATGCAGATGAACACCTTTGCTTGTTTTGTTCTTTTCTTGGCAGGACATACCTATTGGTTTTCTCAGTATAATATGACTCTCCCTGGTTTCGCTTAAATGTGACATTTTTGTTCCTTGCTTTAGTGCCAGATGGCTGAACATTAGCAGAGAACCCTGTTTCAACTCTCTCTTCTCCATCTACCACATAATCTTCGGGTTGTTTTTGTTGAGATGGATCACTTACACAGTCAATGTTCATTCCCACATCAACTGTGGTCAGCATTTCATCCTGAATCAGTGTGTTATCAGTAGCGCCAACCTCAACAAAACAGGGAGAGTTGTCAATTACAGAGGATGACATGTTATCTACGTATACAGAGAAATACTTATTGTGATTTGAACATGCATCACTTCTAATAAAATGTTCAAAGCACAATAAGCACTGACATTGAGCACATGCGGCAAAAATGTCCTGAAGGCAATGAAACTCTGAACACTGTTCAGATATGTTCATCATCTGGCTTTCCTGGTGTTCACCAGCCTCCTTTGTAGGTGTTGTTGCATTTGGGATGGCAGTGGCAGCCAGTTCAGTGGGTGTTGTTGTCTTGTTCGCGTTGAGGTCTTGGGCTGCATAGAAATTAAAATCACATCAAGGAATTCATTCACATTTGAATGAGATAGATGTAAAGGAAATATGTAGTGTGTGTGGCAAAAAAAAGGAAGCCAAGAATTGTTGAAAGCCGAGTTAAATGACTAAGTGATTTTGTTTTTACTATTCTTCCTACAAAAACTCAAAGCTAAAATTTTGAAATCATTTATCTTTTATAAGATTCGAAACCACTGTGAAACAACTTTTAAGATATTTTACTTGAACTATTCAAATATAAAAAGTGAGTGAATACTCCATTTGGTACCTACCAGTCTGAGACGGTGGACAGACTGCAGCTTCCGATGATGTCATGCTTTCTGCAAGGCACAGAAACAATCACATTAGAACCACCAACAATGCTGTGTTATTAGTACTTTGTTTTACTACAGTTTTTATAAGATAGTGCCACAAGCTGCTTTTTTTTCAATGGTGTACTTTCATGCATGTCTATCTCAGGACTGTTAAAATTTCTAGAAGGATAAGAAAATAATGTTGGATGTCAACTAGCCACGATGTGAAGATAAACCGATACGAAACAAATGAATCACTCATTCAAATATTAACATATTCAGGTGAAACTTACTATTGGTACGTGCCAAGTGTGTCTGCAACTGCATCAATGACATGTCATCCATCTCCTCTGAGTCAGTAACATTCACTTTCCCATTGCCATCAGTTTCATGGAGTGGCTCTGCAGGAAAGAAACAGAACAGGAAATCAACATAAACATAACAAATAATAGCATTTGTCCCTACTTATGAATCATTAAGAAAAGCAACTTCAGGTGTCATTTGGTATCAAGAAGGAGAAACTACATATAGATTGTCAGGCTTGACATCTGCACTCACCAGAGGACTACTCAAAGATACGCTTAGAATCCTAATTCAGCTCAAGTTCCTTTGATGGATATTTTGGTAAGAGAAAGATGTGCTATAATGTTGAAGATGTATAGGATGCTATCTCCATGTGATACTCACTTTGAGTTGATGCCAGGTGTGTCTGCAGCTGTGTAAGTGGAATGTCATCCATCTCGTCCAAGTCACTGTCACTAAGCTCTCCGATAACCTGACTGTCAGAGGAATCTGCAAAACAGTAAATCATCCTATTACAACAATGTTTAATACACATCGAGTTGTCATACTTCTTTGCCATCCTTATCACTTACACACATGCAGTATAAAAATGTACGTACCTTGCTCAGATGTAACATCCACATCACGGAAGGTCTCAGACTCATCAGATGCCTCTACAATTCAAGAACAAAATGAAAACAGAAATTCACTGAGGATGTGTGTGATTATACCAACTGAGAAGAACTTCATTTGATTAATAATGGGGTACGAACATGGGCATTTTAAAGAAAACTTTATTTTGCCATGTTCGATTCCAATTTTAGCTGTACGAGTGCTTCTTTCAAATACCTTGACTTGCTGATTCATAGGCAAGCACCTTGCCCCTCCACCAAGTTCTTCCCCACCTCATCTTCACCCGCTGATGTTGATGTAATAGTCCACGAAAATGTAACTCGCTGGATTTAACTACATTCTTTGTGTGGTCACTCCACTGGACCAAGACATCTTTTGGGGAGGTGCCTGTGACTAAATGGAAAACATTGAGAAACAAAGTTATCTTTAAATTGAAGTACAAACTGCTTTATACATCTATACTGTAAACTGGCAATGTGGTCTTACTTTGAAGAAAGGTCGTTGTTAAACAGGATGTCAATATCTGGAATTTGAAGTTGAAAATTATATTCAAAGAATGCTATTTTGAATCCATTTTTAATGATGACTCTCAGGTAATGTAACTTTTGATAGTACATGTAGCGAGGTAATGCTTTGTTTATATTACATATTTGCCAGAGGATGTAAAATGTGGGAATAGGGTAATCATTTGGAATGTCTATTTTACCAATTTGCATGGGCTATCCCCCCCCTACTGGCCCACCGATAGGCCCTACTTCAACTCACTGACCAAAGCCAGGCATTGGTCTAGCCAGAGAATATTGTTGTGTTGTTTATTATTATTAAGGCAGGACTATACTCCCAGGTGAGGTTTAGGACAGGGAACAAGAAAAACACCCCAATTATAGACAAGTAAGGGGGCATGGATGCACGTATAAACTTGAAATTTTCCTTATTAAACTGAAACAGTGACAGTGTGCCTGTTTGGGGAGGCCTACATCATGCATGCAAGACTAAAAACATGTATTGTTGTAAGCCAAGACTAAGTAGTACTCAAGTAGGCTACTAAAGCGATCGAGCTTGAGGGGATTATATTTTATTATTTAAAGGGAGGCCGAGTCCAAGAGTTCTAAAAGGATTGAGCGAAATTGCACTATTAATAATTATTATATAGGCCTTTACACAAAGCCAAGTAGGCCTACATATGAAACGTCGAATCAATGACTTGCCTAAACCATTCCAATCTTTAGCTAGGGCCTAGGCCCTAACGTTGGCTAGCTCAAGCTTACATCATGTTTTTGGGAGGGTTTTACATATATTTGCTACATAGAGATCTATAAAAGAAAAATACTCACTTCCTTTATTTGTCATGGTATCCGTGGAGGGCAAGGTGCCATTTTCAGCCATTTTAATGGCCTGAAGTTGCCTACTGAGTCAGCCCCAGCAAACTGCAAGCTGCACAGCCGTACGTACGTACGTATGCTATGTACGTACGTACAACGTGTACGTGTGCGAAGCAATGCTTTTCCTCGTTCCCAGCAGAGTCTGCCTTTGTTTAAAAAACAAGCACGCAAGTTCAAGAGTCCTGGGTACGAAAAAGCTAATTGACGTAACCAACAGAGGGCGCATAATAAAAATGACACACTACGTTTCCACATAGTGTCGTAAAAAGATACGACAGTTCGTGAAACGGTTTTTCGTAATTTCTGTGGACTGACAAAGCGGCGTAAATGTATAAGTCGGTTCGTGAAAACAGTTACATTTATATTTGCAGATTAATATTTTTTTCTGATTACCTATATTTCAAAATTACAGCTCAATTTGGTCTAAAATCGCCGTAAAATAATTCAGTTTAACATTATTAATGATAAAAATCAAAAATGTCACTTTGCCCAAAATATCAGGATACGACGGTTCGTGGTACGACTGACGAAGTGTTTAAGACCAGCTAGCCATGTCTTTATCATCCGTTTAAGACCGGCCACGTGACGAACTCTCGACCAATAGGAATGGCTAAACTGTCTGAGGTATTTATGAATGTTGTGTTAACTGCTGTTTGTTTTCGTGATTTTTACATCAAAATCTAAAGAATCCAAGACATAGGTATAACAAGACAATTGTTGACTAGTGTGATGTGGGATATGACGTTTTGAAGAGCCTCGGGGCGCATAGCACCCTCGGCTTCGCCTCGGGTGCTATGCGCCCCTGGGGTGTTCAAATCGTCATATCCCATTGATGACGGGCTTGTTCTAGCGAATATCTCAACCAGGGCTCCTTGGGTTGCAAGTCTGGGATCGGGCTCATTACGTGAATCGAGATGTTCAAACTTTACGATTACGAGTCTAATGAAAACATTGCGTCACCGTTTTCACGAAGAGGCGAATTTGGTATTTCAATGTCTGAACAAACATTCGAGATAATCGCGTTTAAATTTGGTCCTTTTTTCATTTGACAATTTGAAACTTAAAGATGCATAAAATACGCAAGATTTAGGTATCAGAGGAAAGAACAGATTATAATCTTCCTAAATGTAGCAATTTTTAAGAAAAAAAGTTGATTAGTTTGGCAGAATTAATCAATTAAACGAAGTGGCTATTCGTGAAAACGAAAAAAGAAGAAGACCATTAGCAGATTCGCCCCTTCGTGAAAACGCTAGAGTGATGAAGCCTGGTTCATACTTCATGCGAAAGCGAATGCGAAGCGAATTTGACGTCATGAAACATTCACTGCGAAATTCGCCCGAGTTGAAATATGTTCAACGGTTACGAATTCGCAATGTATTTATTTACTGAACATTTATTAATAACATAGAGTGCGGAAATTCGCCCCTGCGTGAAAACGCAAAAAGGCACTTGTGACAAATTCGCCCATGATTAGGTTAATTAAGATTTAATTCATTTTTTTTTAAAGTATAGCCTTACCAGGTTGTAGATATTGATATATTTATTCATTTTCACCAAAAAACAAAAACAAATTTCGAAAAACAGACGATTTTCATGAAATTCGTCCCTTCATGAAAACGGTGGCGAAAAATTTGAATAATTAAATCCTTCGACAAATTTCATATGTGACTGTTGTGTGCACCTCCACATCGAAACCGAAGCTTTCGTTTGTATAATAGAGATTGACACTTACAATGTTGTTTTATATTATGATTCAGCACAAGCTTCGACAAACAACCAATGGTTGTTCTGCACATCTCATGAAATTGAATCGAAAAGCAGTGTTTGTGTATACTATAACTTGTTAGTTGAAATAGCATGCATCCAGATGTGTTTTATTGCCATATAGACTTCATAAATTTACAAAATAATAGTAAAATATCGGTTTCCATTTTGTTGTTGCTCGATATTAAATTCGTTGTAACGTAATAGTCCCAAGTTGATGACCTATCGACAACGTATGTGAGTTTGTGTTACATACCCTATGTGGACTTGTGAACAAAAGAGGTCCACATAATGCAGGTTGTGTTAACCTTATGTGGACTAAGCCGTGTCCACATAAGGTTTTGCCCTTTCTGGAAAACAGGTTTAGAGGCATTTTTGGGTTAGGTTTATCCGTAGCAGAATGAAGAGAAACACTATAGGGAATCATAGAAAAAAAATTGGGTTAAAAGAGTTTTCACAGTTTAAGTAAAGTTATTTTTTGTACCGAGTTTTCTTAACTACACGAAAACAAAGCAATGTCCACACTAGGTATGTAATGTAAGTCTGGGTGTGTGTGTGTGTGTGTGAACTAGCTGCTCTGGGTTTTTACTCTCGAATGGGCATCCCTTTTTATTTTTATGGTTCTCATCTTCTTCTTTTTTGCTTCTGCAGTAGGGTCGGTCGGTCAAAAAAAACCCGAAACAAATTGAAATAGGCTTAATGCCCATTGAACCTTTCGAGAAATAAACATCATGTCGAAGAGCGATTCAGTTGTTTTCTAGTGAAAAAAAAAATATTCATGTAGCTTAACTTATTCCCATAAAATGCCACGAGAAAGATAACAGTATCGCAGATCGTGGAGAAAAAAAATATTTCGTGGAATAAAGAACACAAAAACAGTTTGAAAACACTAGGTGTTTCGCCGCCAAAAGCGATGAAAAGGTGTTCGTGTGTGTACGTCAGTTAGGTGTTCGGATGTTTTGTCAAAAATATATATATCTGCCGCTGAAAATGTATTATGTAGTTGAAACATTCCTTCGATAATATAGTCGAAATATTCCTTCGATAATATTTCAGGACAGCAGCTATAGGGTCCCGTTGGCAGGGATCTAAGGGGACATAATTGTCTGGAGGGATTGGCCATTTTTTAAAACATTTTTTAGCTTCTGGGAATTCTGACCGGGGAAACAGGCTTCGAGTAGGGGATGAGTGCCCTTATCCCCCCCCCCCTCTCAGTTACGCCACTGTTAAAGAAAAATAAAATCTCGTATGATTTATAAACATAAAACTCGGAAGCTACGTTCAGGCCGGCGATAGTAAAAGCTTTCAAGTTCAGAGTGAGAACATTTTACATACCATGTCGATTAAATTGGAGTTTTCATCTTTTTAATTAATGCAACATTTGAAAGACATGACTGCCTGACTCTTGCATTCTTCAAGTCTTATGTTAATTTTCTTTAAGTTGTTGGCCCCCACTTTCCTGACGTGCTATTTTCCTTAATTTACTAATCTGTATGAAATTGTTTTCAGAAAAAAAATTGCTATTATTTTCAATATGATGTAGGCCTATATAAATGATACACAATCGGAAGTGATAGGAAAAAGAGACAAATCAGAGTAATATTTTGTTTTCAATTCCCAATATTTTTTAACATTTTTATTTCACGTTTATTTATCACAAGTTGAGTTATAAAAGATTTTTTAATAAAATCTTCCATTATTTTACTTCAAATTATGGACAAGTGTTCTGTACAACTCATGGAAAATATCATCCCCTGAAGCACTCAAAATGAAATTTGAAAATACAAGACATGTACAATATTTTGACTGCCTAGTTTTTGCAGGGCGCACCATGGGACTAGTCTATGTATGGCAAAAGCAATGGTCTATGATATCTGAGCAGATTCGCTGATTAATTAGGCAAGACCCCGCATATTGACCTCCTACATTTTGGCCAGTCAGTGAGCGCTTCCTATATCGGGTCTTCGGTCATTCATCCGTTGCGCGTCATAGACAATAGATTAAAAAAACTGTGTCACGAGCTCTGTATCATATTACGCATTAATGCGCCCGGTTGTTGTCGTATTACAAAACACTGCATTCGAATTGACCAATCAAACCATTAAGTCTTGATTTTGGAATGAAATACGTCACGATTTAGTAAAGTCGACTCTGATTGGCTGGCGCGCGGCTTGCATATAATTATCTGCATGTCTAGACATATCAGACGTTATACAGAACTTGGTTCCGTGGATAACGGGTGATACTCAGACTACCATGGGACGTATTCTCACTTATACGTTCACCATTATTTATTCTTTCTAAAAAATGTCATCATTATGACATTATAAAAGAGTGAGACACTCATGTCTATAGTTTCTCTAAATCGAGATGTATACAATTTGCATATTTGAAAACAACAGATATAATGACAGTATTTTACGAATCACACTCCCAGGACAGTCCGAGACTGTTGACAATTAAAAGTGTAGTCCCTTTTGAAAGCCTTGAAACAATGTCTTCATTCTCAGCCTAATTATTTTAATTCCCCACATTTCAGCTTAAAGGGAAGATACAACATTTGAAAACATCAAAAAACTCAATGACCAAATTATCACGAGATATCTTACTGGATTGTTAGGGAATGACAGTCTAAAGCATCCTGTAATGTCGCAGCTCCTGGTGTGCTGACATTTTCAAAAAAAAACCCTGTATTTTTCCAACGCTGGTCGGCCGACCAGCGTTGGCGAAAACTGGCTTTTTTCAAAAAGTGCTCCTAATTTTTCATATTTAGTTCGTCTGCATTTTCTTTTCAATTGATTACACACCTGCGAAGACTACAAGCCTGCTTGACCGATTCTGTGATCTTGCAATTCCCCAAAGTCTATAAATTGCTCCGTTTCATCATAAGTGGGGTCAGGGAACCAGACTACAAGAATATGATTGATTTTCTTGATTTTTCCAGCATCTTCGAACCAAAAACGTGAAACAAGTCAGTGTAACAATATTTGCTACAGCATACTAATCCTCCAAATCCTTTTATTTCTGAATATTGCAGCAAAAGCAAATGTTGTACATTCCCTTTAAATACTCAGATTAAATCCAAAAGTTGAGCCATGGCCGCATCTAGCTGGTTTAAATCTGCCTGTGACAAAAAATTGGAGCAAAATGGTTTTGTTTTTTAAAGAGATGCAAAAGATCTCACTTTCAAAATTAACGGGACTATCATTGGGCTTAGACATAATGAAGCAAGAACAAACGTTCTCTTTTTTTTATAATTCCAAATCGCATAATTAGGCTTTAGCCTGCTTTAGTGGCTATGGAAAGCCCACTGATCATTGGGCTAGCATGTCCCTTTAATAATGAATGAATAAATGAATCCATCGGAAATTCGGCAACCACCACAATTAACCGGCCTTCCTTGAAATTCTCGTCACTGATTCGTATACGTTGTAAATCAGTGACGAGAATTTCAAGGAAATCGGTTATTTGTGGTGATTGCCGATATTTCGATGAATTGGTACACCATCCAGTAGTGCGACAGTATGTCCCTCATCGGTCCCTCAATGACGCGCAGTCGCTTAATTTACGCAGACTCATCCCTGTTACAACTGATAATGTAGTAACCAACGGATAACGTATCACCAACCGATAATGTAACAACAATTTACCTATAGTGTAGTATAGAATGTACTACACTCGCAGTCAATTTGTATTACAATTTTCAGTCCTAACCGATAAAGTAACAAAAATTGACTAAT